CCTTTCCCTATGGGGACGTCCATTAATCACGAGACACTTTCAGGGGCAGGGGGGTTGACAAAGAAAATCACTAAAAATCACGCGGTGGAGGGAGAGTCTAGTTAGATAATACGTGTATCTATTTTTTTACCTAATTTAAAAAAATAACGATTTTTTCGTAAATTCGTAACTAAAAATGCACGTGATGTCTGGTAGTGAGGGAGCGTAAATTTTGAATATTACAACGTATCACTAAGGGGGTGATCAATGGACACCCCCTTTATGTAAGTAAGTTAATAAATTTATATCTCGCTATATAAATTAAAATAAAACATAAAATCAATAATTATAAATTCGATCCCAAAATTTATCTATAAAAATTAACTCTGTACTTCGGGCCTTGTGATATATTGTCAAAGCTATTCAATGTGGTCAATTCTGAGGTAAGCGCATAATTGATGAGACCATTTTCTGCGACATAATCGTAGTCCGGAACGAATCCGACATTTAATAACGCCATTAACTTGTCGAATTTGAAATTTATGTCACATGCCGTTTGTTGATTCCTCGTTGGAAAACGCTTCTATAAATATTGATGTCTGTCCCATAGGGCGTAGAGCGAAATTGCTTTTGATGGCGAATTCGGTGTTAGAACGACATAATTAGATTGGTTTCTTATATACCGGACTTTTGAATCATTTCTTTATAGTACCTATCACCGCACGATTTAATAAATAAAAGTTCAATATAATATCATCAATTTCTTCCTGTAAAGCTTTTCTAGAAATATCTGAGTAAAGATCACGCATCAATTTTAACATAGATTTTTTTTAACTTAGTTCACTTACTTAATCATAAAAACAACGTAATATGTCAAGTCATATATACCATAACCATATAATGCCATAATAAACAACGCACGACTGATTTTATAGCTTTTATTAAAAGAACGCATGCACTTTAAGCACCACGGGAAACTTTTGCTTTATCTAACTAGCAAAATTGTTTGCCATGTAGACATGACAAGTAAGTAAATCATATGCTATATGATGTGTATATGCGATACTGAGTGCGTTTGATAAACGGCGTCATTATAGAAGCTCGACTCCAATAACTTGAGTAATCGCGTCAATTTCCCAATACTGATCAGAAAGCGGCGGGAGATTCAGCTTACTAAGTAATACACAGAAAGGATCGTAGAGAATACTTTAGAAAACAATCATAAAAACAATTCAATCATTAAAAAAATCGTTTAGAATAATTTTGCCCTTATTGTTATGCAGGAATATTTTTCGACAATTTATTAATATCTTCTACTGCCTTCTGTATATTTTTGCTAATCCCGTTGTCATGCATAAAAAGTAATTCTCAGTGAAAAAAAATTAAATTTACTTTGCACAATAGATGGCAAAGTGCATCTTCAATAGCATACTGCACGACATCGTAGAAGATAGGTTGTAGGAGATCATCATTTCATCAAACCACCAAAGAGAGTGCTAAAAATAGTTTTTCCTTTAATTGTTTGTCCCATATGCAGAAATATTTTTCAACAATTTAACCCCTGTATATTTTTTACTAACCACGTGGTCATTCATCAAGAATAGTGCTTAACGCTTCAGTTCATCTTCAAAAAAGAACCAGTTTTTAAACTTGCAACTTCTTTTAATACGATTGACGGCCTATGAATACAATTTTTTAATATACCACAATCTAAAAAAAATAAATTTACTTTAAACAATAGATGGCAAAGTGCACAATATCGTAGAAGTTAGGTTGTAGATAGATCATCTTTTATATTTTGGGTGCTTTTTTTTGGAGGCCGTGTGCATAATCGTAGAGATAATGCTAAGATGAAGGACATGCCTAAATAAAGCCTATCAACAAGCTAATAGTAATTTAAAAAATATGATCATTTGTAAATTGTCCAACAAATACAGTCGGAAAAATTGCTCCGAACTACCTTATGTGCTTGCGAGTTTCGGAGTGCAACGTTGCATTTTTATGTAAAATTCAACGAGTTGTGCAGAGTGCAACATATTTCACACAAATTAATTTGAAAAAGCCGCTAGAGAAACTGAATTACACAGATAACCTAATTACTTCAACCATACTTGGTATGAGTACCTACTTCTCATCACGGACTTGGATACGAACAATTGTTAATGCCTTCTTCAGGACTAAACTGATAAGTCGATAAACAAATCCAATCAAACGATAAAATAAATCCCTTAATATATTAGTAAAAAATAATGACTCAATGCCATGCCAATATTCTGAAGCTTAAACCAGTCTAAATCATCAATCATTCTAAATACAATAATTAAACATTCACTTAAAATTCATAACCAACATAATATTTCCCAATATCCATCTATTTCAGCAGCCATTATAGTTCACACTAGTCAATAATGCAGTAATTTAATCAACGATTTTCTGATTCAATTATGGGCCAGATAATTGCATAGGGCATCAAATTCCAGTGAGTAATTAATAAGCAATTGATATCAAGGTAAATGTATTTGTAATAATTAATTGGTAGCAATTTAATTACCAAACGGTAGTTCAGAAATAGAATAACAGAACGCGGCGAACAAAACAGGCTTGGCTTGTTATTGAGGGGATAAACAAAGTGCAAATGAGATATGGTGTAAAATTATGATAAAACTCTATTTTTAAAATTAGAGACTAATTTGTCTTACTCAGAAATATTAAAATAGGTTGTCAGGTCTGTATTCAAAAAGTTGCAATGGTAAAAATATTAATAATAATTGTTAGTTATTGAAAAAGTCTAAATTCCGACATTGTACTTCAAACATATTAATACTGAAATAATGAATTACAACTAAATATCGAATAAATAAATCACCAAATTCTAGAAAGTAACATAGAAAGGTATTAGACCAATAAATGTGTTACAACAATTAATTTCCACATAGATTTCTTGTATCTTTCTTCTGAGAGACTTAAATTTGTGATGAAAAATATGCTGTTAAATTAGTGTTGGTAATGCAGACAAATACATATAATCTTATGGGCCAATTTTCGGATGAAATGACTATTCTATTTTACCAGTCTTTTATGATCGAGTAGTCGCATTGGTTGGTAGTCACAAAATTGTCATAAAGCTGAAACCGTTTTTTCATCGCTCCGGAACTATTGTATGCCAGCTGCTCTCTTTTTCATTATAATACCTCATGCACATGACCTTTTTAATGTGTCAGCATCTTTGAACACCATGGTGTATTTAGTACATTAAATTAAATGGTATATTTAGTACATTATATTAAAAACTTTAAATACGATTTTCTTAAATTGACTTTTTTCAATGCGGTGCCACAAATTTAACAAAAACTACAAGTCGGATCGACTTGCATTTTTTTTAATTTGTTCGCCACTGCAATACCTAGTCCCCCTACCTCAAACAACTTGATAACATTACGCACAAAATTTTTGCGAAGCTTCTCGCCCCAAAAAAAGGCCTTTTTGGACACTTTTTTTTAAATAGCTGCCATTTTTTTAACTTCCCGTAGGGTAAGTTATAGTAATCGCAAAAAAATCGAAAATGAAAATTTTTATATATCTTTACGTTTCAGAGGTTTCTGAACATTTTGGCATACCTTAGAAAAAATGGATGTATGTGTGTGTGTGTGTGTGTGTGTGTGTGTGTGTGTGTGTGTATGTATGTGTGTGTATGTATGTGCGGATACAAATTTTCGTCGACGATTTCGGGAACACGGATCAACCGATTTGAATAATTCAAAAAACATTCGATTCGTATTGATAAGGAGACGTGCTGATTAGTTTTTGGCGAAAGCAGGTCTAGCCGTTCCGAAGATACGGGGCAAAAAGTGCCGAAAACGGTAACTCAGTTTTTAAGACAACGGAGCGTCCGATTTCAATAATTCAAAAAACATTTTACTTGTATTGACAAGGTGAAGAATTGATCAAATTTTCATGAAGGCAGGTCTAGCGGTTTCGGAGATCTAACGAAAAAAGTAAAAAAAAATGCCATTTTGCGGTCAAAAATGGTCATTAGACATATGCACATCAAATTATCAGATATTTTATAGAGATTTTAACAATAATATGAATTTTGTTTACATTCCTATGGGTTCCGTACCAATGTTTATCCGTTAGACAGCGACGCGGCGCTTACGCGCTTTATATTTTGTTTCTATGCAGTTGCGGCAGTGCGATTGCTTTGAAAAAAAGTTCAGATCTTCCAAAAATTTTTTTTTAGAATTTTTTTTTTTTAAAAAAATTTTTTTTCAAGAAAAAGTATTTCTTTGTCCAATTATAGTTTCTCAAAAATCTTATTTTGCAAAGTAAAATTTTTTCAAAAATGTTAATCGTTTTTAAAAAAATAATATTTTTGGTACGGGAAGTTCCAGCAATTTGCCTTAAGGCACGATGCCCTAATTGCCTTAAGACAGAATTCCACTTACAGCTAGTTCCTTCTTGCTTTGTTTCTTTCATTTTGGTAGGGGGAACTGGATTCAAACTTCTTCTTCAACGTAGTTTCTTTTTTTTGTTTCAGGCGATGCGCAACGGATTTATCTGTGGCACCGCAAAAGAGATCGATTTTGCAAGGCCGATTTTGTCGCCCCCTGGTTAAAAAATGACAGCGAAAAAAAAGAAAATTTCGTAATATTCTATCTATGATTTTGTAATTTTTGTTTAAAAAAACCGCATGTCTCTATGATTATTACATTACATTACAGAAAATTACATTACAGAATTAACATAACGAGTATTGCATTACAGAAAAACATAAACAAATACCTTGCATTTTTTGTAAAAAAAAGGAACAACCCCCTTGAATATGTGAAGTCAAAATATTGTTATTTTGACATCTATTCCTATAAACACCATAGACATAGCTTGCTGCCAGTTTAGTGACTACCAACTTATACGACGACTCAATCATAAGAACCAGTGATATAATATAGCTATTATATCCAAGAACCGGTCCATTATTTTTAATTATATGTCTCTATTATAATCGAAGAGATATTCCTCACCGTATCCAGGTTAAAAAGCGACGACACCTTCTTCAGGAAGCCGCCGCCTTCTTGTTGCCTTTTCTTCTTGCGCGTGGTCATGGTGTCCACGGCGTTGTTATTCTTTGTATGTCCCGTGTTTGCGGTTTTATGTTCAACTTTGTTAATATATCTAAGTAACTCTAAGAGTTTTATCTAATGAATGCTGTTCAACATAAACCGCGACACACATTTTGTACCAACGCCATAGTTCGATCCGACTTCATGGTTTCAGAAGATTTGCGAAGTTAATTCTTCAATGACTATGAAATTAGTTCCAGAAATATCTTCGGTTTTATGTAACTCATCTATATATTTATTGGTATATGTTAGCAATGCATGTGGAATAATTACTTGAATGAAGGTAACGATAACATGTGATGCAATGCAGAATTATATCTGCATGCGATAAATGTTGATCTCAGGTTTTGGTTAGACAACCAAGATAATATTGAAATACCACACCTTAAGGTCCTTAATTAAGGACAGACTATGTTGTAAACCCTTAATTTTTCGATTAAATAGTTCAATTTTAAAAACCATGATCCGAAAGATTAAATAATAATTACATATGGCAACATTTTGCAATATTCTTGCAACAGCAAAAAATTATACCTACTTCACATAGGGTAAGTTAGAGTAATCGCAAAAAAATCTGAAATGGAAATTTTTGTATATCTTTACACGTTTAAGGCCTCCAGAACATTTTGGCACATTTTGTCGTCGACGACACCGATTTGAATGATTCACAAAGCATTCGATTCCTATTAATGGGGAAACGTGAAATGACAATTCAATTTTTGAGAGAACGGAGCATCTGATTTGATTGATTCAAAAAACATTTTACCTGTATTGACGGATTGAAAAATTGATTAAATTTTTGGGAAGACAAGACCAGCGGTTTCGAATATCCAATAGAAAAGTTTACAAATAGAGTTTGGCGGTCGAAATGATAATTAGATATATGTGCACACTATTAGATATTACATATAGATTTTACTAATTAGTATTTTGTTTGCATTTTTATGGGTTCAAAATTTACCGGTATGCAGGATGCCTTGCACCACTAGATTTTATATAATTAGAAAGAACCTTCATGAAAAAAAATGTAAGTAATATTTGTAATATCTATATAATGCAGTAATGTAAAATGCACACCAGTGTGCTTATCTTATAAATTACCATATTTTTATAATATAATTTATCTAATCCCTGCATTTACTCGCCAGCATAAAAATAAGAGCTACTAAATCAATAGATTCCTTATTAATATCCTTTTCTAATTCACGCTAAATATAATTTCTAATTACTCACTTTTCTATTCTGTAAGATATTCAAACAAACGGATAATTGAATAAGCTATGAAATAATTAATCAATTGTTCAATTAAATTCTTTAATCATTATAAATTTAATTCAACAATAAAGAATGATAAATTAAACGACTTCAGATAGGGAATTAAATAAAAGTTAATTGATATTAAATATTCCTGCGCTCGCTTTATATCCGGCTTATTTTTAATGCAAAGTGAAGCATATTTTAAATACTTAACAAACTCTGTTTTATTTCTTAGAAAACGTATATAAGCATTATTAGAAACTTTGGACAGAATTGCAGATGTTTAGGAAATAAAATTAATATCATGTTGCAAATAAAATTAAAATTGTATTTTAGTACTTTTTGTATAACAGCTTTGCATAACCACCATTATTAATTTATCTAAAAGTCACAAATGTGAATTAAACTAGATCACAGGGGAAGTCAAAATGCCTCATCAAACTATTCTATAACTAATAAGTTCTAAGAATTATTAATTAATATCCTCTTAATTAATTCCATATTTCTAACATAAAAATATTTCTTGGTCCATCGAACTTGGATAATATTTAATTAAAATTTAGTTCAATTTTTGTTATGAAAATATGTATATATGATAACTGAATTTTCCCAGCAATTTAAAATATGTTATTCATATCGATTCGAAATAAATGTGAACCTTCGATGAAACATTGGCAAAAGGAATTTTTAATGGATGGCAGATGAGATATATGAGAGCAATATAGCTAAAAAGCAAATAAAAATTATGAAATTATGCTCTTATATTTTTCACAATGTTAACCGTTTTGTAATAAAATATTTAGATTCAAATAAATTAACGAGTTAAATTTAAAAGCTAAGAAAAAGGCAGAGTGGAAACGCAGAATACTTAGACAAAAATATCAAATCGAAATTAATAATTTCAAAAAAAAAGTTAAAAATTTTGTTTTGTAAAATTAAGTTCTTGAGAATTTTTTTGAATCATTCAAATTGGACACTCCGTTCTCTCAAAAACTAAATTACCATTTATGGCACTTTTAGCCATCGTCTGAATGGCTATACCGGCCTTTGCCAATAAATCAGCGCGTCTCCCCATTAATACGAATCAAATGTTTTTTGAATTATTCAAATAGGTTGATCCATGTTCCCGAAATCGACGAAGAAAATTTGTATCCGCACGCACGCACGCACGCACGCACGCGCACACGCACATACACACCTCAATTTTTTCTAAGGTATTCCAAACTGTTCAGAAAAATATGAAAACGTAAAAAACTCGAATCATGCCAAAACTTTTATTTTCGATTATTTGCGAAAAAATAATAGCCGATGAAAAATTACAATGGTGCTTAGGAAAAGAGAGAATTGTTCCGTGCTTAATGAAAGTTTTGCTGTTAATGAATGTAAAAGTTAATGATGCTTCAAAATTAAGATAATGACATTTTGTACTAAATAATTTTTAAGATTATATAGCTTATATAATCACTTGGATTAAAACAACTTTTTCCGACTATGACTACTACATTTCATAGGTGCTTAAATAGAAAAATTCCCAATTTTTACCCCCAGATAATAATAAAAATATCATCTTACAAAATCACAATTTCAATTTCTTTTCCTCCTACTTATCAAACAAATTCACGCTGGAATGAGATGTTCTTCCGTGAGATTAATTTAAATATTCATAATACTGCAACGGGCACGTGCGTATCAAGCTGCCATAAAAGTTACGCAATTTGAAAAAATCGTGCGTGTCGCCCGAAAGATAATTATGATTTACGAGAATATTGTGTACCTGTCGGAGCGATTTTACCTTCGAACGCGAAAAAACTAATTATTTGATATCACACCTTGAAATGAATCGAACGACGCGTTTGTTATGCATATATATCAAGGTTCTGAAAACAGATGAATTTAATTAAAATTCTGAAAATCTGATGCTCTATTATTAAAATATAGTACGGAATTGGCAGTTCAAATTATTTATCCCAGATCTAATACATTTAGTTAATTAAAAATAAATTGTACTGCACATTTTGGCAATTTCAACAACTTCCCGATTATATTTATAGAGTAACTCCGCCCGAAGATAGATCTATGAGCATAGTTAATCTCTTACTTGATTCAGAGAAATTTAGTACCAGAGATTTTCCGTGAACGTATTTTCAATTGAAACTTTAATATATATTTTATGTATGTTTTTGAATGTAAAAGGAATTCATCAAGACACCAGGTTGTCTTGAGATGGGAATCGAACTGGTTATTATGTTGAAAACTTGCTAAAAACCAAACTAGCATTGAACTATCCCTATTAAAAAAATAAATAAAAGTGGCAAAATTTACAAAAAAAAATGTAGAACTGAAATCAACTTGTAGGACTATTTACGAATTATTTTCTTTCATTAAAACCTATAAGCATTTAATTACTTGATTCGATTCCTTCATAAGTATCAAAAATTATGAAAGCATGTACAAAATCTGTGAATTTTTCTGCTGGTATCTATGATATATAAAAAAGCTTTATTAAAATCTAAAAACACAAAATCCTAATGTTTTTTAAACTCTCAACATGGATCAAAAATAAATATTTTCAAGTATTAGTTATGGGCCTGAATAAATTTTCATATTTTCAAGATCATATCAAGACAATTGCGCTTATATGAGCACTGACTTTGCAATAGAATACAAACTATGATCTTTATGTATGTTTCTAATATTTTCAATCTAATTTTGGTAAAATTAATCAATCACGTTGTTGGATTAATGTGTCTAATATATAAAAATATTCCAATTGATGACCCAAATCTTTGGGGATACGTGTTTTCCAATGTAATTTTTACCATTGAATCGAAAGTCAAATTGGGGGCTTAATGGCAAAAAATTTAAAAAATGATAAGATCTCCGATGTAGTAGTTTTTTGCATGATACTTAAAA